TATATATATATATATATATATGGTCATATTTCATGAATAAATTTTTTTCAATCTTATTGCTAATAGAGTATCAAGTTTGTGCTTAACATGATGGATTCTTAATGAAAATAAGTTGTATATGTGATGTTTGTTTTAGACTGATGTCAGAGTGATCTTGGAAAGAAAGAGAACACAGATGTTCTAACTTAAAAAAAAAAGAAAAAAGAAAGAAACCCTGCTACAAGCAAAATTATGCAACTCTGCTCACATACTTATTGTAAAATATTATACATTATACAGTATTACACATATACAATATTATACATTATACAATAACATACATTACCGCTCAAAGATTTGGGGTTGGTAAGATTTTTTTATTGTTTTTAAAAGAAGTCTGTTATGCTCAGCAAGGCTGCATTTACTTGATCAAAAATACAATTTACAGTAACATTAAGAAATGGCATTACAATCTAAAAGAACTGTTTTCTGCTTTAATATATTTTAAAATGTAATTTATTCCTGTGATGTAAAGTTGAATTTTCAGCATCATTACACCAGTCTTCACAGTGTCACATGATTCTTCAGAAATTATTCTAACATGCTGATTTGCTGCTCAAAAATATTTCTAATTATTAATATCAATATTGATTGATAATAAATTATCAATATTCTGCTGCATTTTTTCTTTTTTGAAAATGTGATACTTTCTTCTAGATTCGTCAAATTCAAAAGAATAACACTTATCTGAAATATAATTATTTTGTACCATTATAAATGTCTCTGCTGTCACATATGATCAATTTATTGCATCCTCGCTGAATAAAAGTATTAGTTGTTTTTTTTTTGTTTTGTTTTTTTAAATAAATAATAATAATATATATAAATATATATAATAATAAAAATTAGAGCCCGACCGATATGGGTTTTTTGGGGCCGATACCGATACCGATATTAGGGGGTTAAAAAAAAGGCCTATACCGATATATCGCCCGATATTCTTTGTGTATATTATAGTACAGTGCCAGTCAAAAGTTTGGACACTTTCCCATTCGTGTGTCCAAACATTTGACTGGTACTATAAAAAAAAATTCATATCGGCGGCATATCGACAGGCTCATATCGGCCGATAATATCGGCAAAACGATATTATCGGTCGGGCTCTAATAAAAATCTTACTGACCCCAAACTTTTGAATGGTGCCATAATTCCAGACACAGGGTCCTGAATCTCATCATGAATCCTGCTTGAGGTCCATTATGAGCACACAAATGTGAATGATGATGAACAATCTTGAACAGAGTAAGAGGATCTGTTAGGACTTGCTCTTACTGATAGTCGGTGATGCTGCCCTTCCTCTTGCGGGTGTAGTCCATGCCCGGCATTCCCATTGAGCTGCTGATCAGGTCAGTGGAACTGGGAGACATGAACTCATTCATCGTGGAAGTTATGTCCATTCTTTGGTCTGCCATTAGATCATCTGCAAAATACAAACATAAATGTAACCCCTTAGTTTCTTGTATTCTGTTATGGTGACAAAAATATTGAAAGAAGTCTGCAATTTCACAACTACTTAAAGTATATATGCTAGTTAAAAACCTAATACAATTTATTCATAAAATGTGAGTTTACTTATTTAAAAGAGAAAGTAGAAATATAAATGAAATACTTCTTAAACTCACACCAGAGATAGACGAGGGTTGCTCTTTCTTCACCATTAACTGAGGCTTTCTGATGCGATCCTCCTCTGCAAGAGAAGAAAGTTGTGGTAAAGCAGGATATATAATCTCCACCCTAACAGAGCTCGAGCATTTCATAACCCAGACACAAGAGAGGGGTTTAGATGATGTAAGTGAGCAGACAGCCACTCCTGAATGTTATATGCAAGTCTGAGGACAGCAGTGAAAAAAAAAAAAAAAAACATATATATATATATATTTTTTTTTTACCTGAAAATAAACTGAATAAACCTGAAAAAAGTTTTGACATTTAAAATGTAAAACAAAAAGTTATGGTCTAAAATGAACCCCATACAGCCTACTGTATCATATCTGATACACAAATGTCTAAGGCATGATCAAAACCTGTTGTACACAAACTTTTACATGCATTCTGTTGTCAGATTGATAGTTTATACTTTTTTAGTAAATTTTGTTAGTAATATTTCAAGATGGACACTGACTGGACTGAAGCACCTTAGGTTTACTTTATAATCCATACACCATTTTTAGAAAAACTGTGTTAAATGAAGGTACCAAATATGGTACATTAGGCTTTTCAAGAACGTTTATTTGTACATCTCTGAATTGACATCGTATTGCATTGTAATACAATACAAAGCTTTGTTTATAAAACTAAACATTTAAATATCATCTTACTAAGACATATTTTTGGGAGATACAGAGTTACAATTGATATTTATATGCATTTTTTAAGTAGTAAATTGTATATTTTTCCTCCTTGAATTTGAGCTCCATATTGTCCTACATCATAATATATGAGCCATAAAAGCCTAATGTATTATTTATTTTATTTATTTATTTAGTCATTTAGCAGACGCTTTTATCCAAAGCGACTTACAAATGAGGACAACAGAAGCAATCAAATGTATTATTAAAACAACTAAAAACAAATCCAAAACTAAAAGCTAAAACTTTATAAATACTACTTATACACATTTTAAAAATAAAAAAATTGAATAAAAAGGACAAATGCATACAACAAAATGTCAAAACGCAGACTGCGCTTGTCAAAGGAGGGGGCTTTGTAGAAAACGAAGCGTTTGAGAGAGGCGGGGCATAGAGGACCTACAATAATGTACAGTATTTTAAAAATAATGTGTTTTTTGAACATTAAAGCATGTCAACATATTCTGTTACAGCAAATACACAAAATAATGATCTTTAAAAAAGCATCATATGACCCCTTTAACTCAAATTAAAATAAATAATACCAATAATACAAATCAAACGACAGTAGTTTATCAGTAATCCTAAAATTATTAAATATGATACTCAACATAAAACACAAAGGCAAAAGTTATGTATTTATTTAGTCTAAAGTTTTAATAAACTGTTCTATTTCAAAACATGTGCTTTTGCTTTTTAATATACAGACAAAATCTTTAACTACTTTTTGATAAATCACACACAAAAAAGGAAATATATAGAACAATTAACAGAGAAAATGGCTTTTACATGCAATAGTTTCACATTGTATGAGGAGACATAACCCCATAACCCCCAAAGTACCACATTTGTAGATAAACTCAATTACGTGGACGCTTATGATATAGCTTAGGTTTTCAACACAGTCTGCTTTTTCATCTTGAAATAAGCTATAATTCAATTCAATTCAAGTTTATTTGTACAGCGCTTTTCACGATACAAATCATTGCAAAGCAACTTTACAGCAAATTAAGTTTCTACAATATTTAGTGGTAGCTTATCAGTGGTGACTGTCAGTTCATGTACATATGGCTGAAATGTACGGAAAAATCAATTAAAGACGTAATCAAACAGACGATGAACACTATTAACAGCAATTATTATATGATGCAATCAAACTTATAGCAAAATGTGGTAGTTCTATATGTTGTTTCAGGGTTGGCATCATCTGAGGGCCTATGAGGGGTTGGCATTTTGGATGGTTATAAGCTTTATTACATATTACTATCATAAAGCCATGACTCTTCTGACTCTTCCATGACTCTTCTAAGACTCTTATTCCCCTTGACTTAATCTTTGTCCTACTTTTCACCAGCTGACACTTGAACCAGGTGACCTGACAGATCCAGGGTGCCGTGACACCCAATTAAACCTGCTATGTAACACCCTGATCTCTCCACGCCAGCAGCGGCCCACATTCGATTATGGTCTGGCACAATCTGTTCTCTTTACAGTTACAGGTCAGACTGACACCTGTCTGCTTCTATTCACGCCTGTAATTTGCATCATGAAATGTGAAGCTTTCAGACAAGTATAGAAGGACACTGATAATATGACAAGTCTGTGACAGATGGATTCTGGGAACTGAGTGGCTTACAACAGTAATAAGAAGCACTGAAGCCTGATCTTGATTAACTCTCTACATTTACACATAATGCACCTCAATGACATTTCTGTGAGGAACTGGAAGTCAAATGAGAAAAAAATATTACTGTGGCTAATACATAATTATAATAAATTACACCCAAAATTTAGCTGCTTGCGGTGGAGGACTTAGGGGCCGTTCACATATCGCGTCTTTTGCGCGCTCAAGTTCGTTATTTCAAATGTAGACGCGCGGCAGGCGCGCTCATAATGGAAGCGACGCGGTCGCGACGCGCATGCGGTGCGACGCGCTCATTTTTTCCAGGCGCAACCGCACCGCATCGAGATAAACACATTTCAACTTTTCAGAATGCCGCAAGCGCACCGCGGGTCATGTGACAAGAACCAACCAATCAGCTTCATCCTTTCCCGTAACAACATTGAAAGCTCAGCCAAGATGAAGGAACAGCTGATCATAGCTGTACAGGGATAGCCATTTTTTAAATAAATTTAGTAGTAGAGCTACTGCAAGCGATTTTTAGTGCTGCAAATCCATTTACACTTTGCTGAAACTTCCGCGTCTTCATGGACAGCGCAGGTCAAGGTTGCTTAGCAACGGCAGACGCCTCCGGAGCGCAAGCGCCCGAACGCTTTGGGAAAAAGCAGAAAGCGGCGCGCCTAGCGTTTTCCACGCGTTTTTAGGCGCGACATGTGAATGGCCCCTTAAGCAATCAAACATACAATTTTCATCAGGTGGACAATAGATTTTTGAAAAAAAAAAGAAAGATGAAGTGACCAGAATATCATCGACACTTGGGAGTGGGCCAGTAAGTGACCACCTAGCAACCATCCAAAATGCCCTAGCAACCACCTAGAATACATAGAATAGAATTGCAACCACATAGCAACGCCCTGGAAACCACTCAGAACAAAATGCATCATGAGTCTCAACTGGGCAAGAACCAGAAGATGCTTTTCATCACATTATAATCATATTGTCACAATCCCCAGTCACCAGTCCATTCACTATTCTCAGACACTAGCCCAGTCCACTGGGAACTACATTTCCCAGCGTCCCTTCTGGTCAACACCTGCACTCAGTCAGCCATCACCACACCTGCCATACATGATCTTATCAAGCTCTGTATAAGAGCAGTTACTCTCCACTTTTCCTTGTCTGGTCTTGTCTCCCCACGTATGAGGACTTACCAGGCTACTTCCTTGGATACTTACCTGTCTTCAGTCAGTCTTCAGTTCCAGTCTTCACTAAGCCTTCACCACACACCCGCCAGCACCTGCAACAAACAAAGAACTGTTTATGCTCAAGTGCTTTCTAGTGATGGCGAAGTAAGGCGTTCTGAACCAGTTAAGCTTTCAACACAATTGTATCGGAAAAAGGTTCATTACTCGAAGCTTTTCAACACGGTTTATGTTGTGGCCATCTAGTGGTCATGAAAATTAATAACACCTTCCAAATTGCTGTGGTCCATTACAGCAGCTGGTTTCACATCTGGTTCTACAACTGATTCTGTTTTATTTTATTGTATTTAAATAATGGTCATATATTGTATATAAATAATGTATCGGTGTACTGGCAGTAAAATAAGTAAAATAAATGAAACATAAATTCATAAATTAAATCCGCAATCTGTCTAGTTTAACTCTATCTCAGTCCAGTTATTTCATAGGCAAAGTTCATTTGAGCTTAATATTTAATTACGATATTGAAAAAAAAAAAATGCGGTTCACCAGAGGTTCACGTCGTTTGAACCAGATACTAAAGCAGGCACGTGGTTTTCAGACAAACGAAGCTTCAAATGTCATAGATCATGTGCTTTTGGCAAAACGAATCAAGTTCTGATACAGTGCTTTGATGTGAAATGTGTTGTTGTTGTTTTTTTATACAAGCTTCGGATCTTCCGTGTTGAGCGTAACATCACTAGTGCCTTCTATCTTCATTGAATTATATACTCACCTGTTTACCACGCTGCTTCTCTGAAATTCCTGTGAATAAATACTTTGTTGCTGACGTTACCTCTGAGACTTCTCCTGTACTTGTGTCAGAAGACCAGACCGATTCCAACAACTATGGACACCCTGCCCTCTAACCCTGTGAATTTGCTCCTCTCCATTTTCTAAGATGGCCATCCAATTGAGGATTATGTCGAGGAATTTCTCGATATTTCCTATAGGGTACCATGGAGTGATGATACCCTGAAGACAATCTTCTGGTGTGGATAAGACGATGATCTGTATCAACAGATACCGGCATCAGCTACCACCTGTTCTCTAAAGCACTATCTTGATTATGCACTGTGGCTAAGTGGCTCGTCCCTCACTGTTGGCGAGGTTACCGACTGCCCTGTGGATAAAACCGTAAGCCCCACGTCTTCTGTCTCTGCTGCGATGGCTTTCAATATAGTCACAGCAAGTGCTTCCATATTCCGTCGGGTGAGGAAGGCTATCTCAAACAGCACAGCCTTGGTGGCAAAGCTTGCGGATCCACCTATCATGTCCATCAGGACGTCTCTGAAGATGAATTCCACTTTGCAGTGCTCATGTCCAGAATCCATACCCAATCAACAATCATGAATCCATTCCAGTGAGTAACAATCCCAAATCTAATCCAAAAAGTGTAATCTCCAAATCTGTTCCAAGAAATAATTTTCTCATGCTAGCTCCTGAAAATGAAGTTACAGAGTATGTAATTCCCGAACCTGACACAGTGAAGCCCGCTCCAGAGTCTGATCCAGCCATTGTGTTCTATCTGGCCCCAGAATCCAGTCACAAACCCGTTCCAGCCCCAGGGTTCAATTCTGAGCCAGCTCTAGCCCAGTTCAGTTATAATTCCATTCCAGCTCCAGAATCTGCTTCAACCCATGAGCCAGCTCCAGAGTCTAGGCCAACTCAAGAGATTATTAAAACCTCACTGCTTCACTTCACCTCTGCCCAAAGGAGAAAGCTGAGGAAGAAGAAACGGTCCTCTACCGGGCCAGCCCCTGACCACAGCCCAGTGTCAGCTCCAGCTAAGGAGCAAAGTACAGAGATGGCTCCATTCCCAGAGTTCGGTCACAAGTCTGCTCCAGCCCTCAAATTCAGTAAAGAGTTCGCTCCAGAATGCTCTCCAGAATCCGCTCCAGTGTTGGCACCAACCCCTGTGTCCACTACAGTATCGGTTCCAACCAAAGAGCACAGTACAGAGATGGCTCCATTCCCAGAGTTCAGTATCGAGTCGGTCCAGTCTCAGTGATCTGTACCGAGCCCGTTCTGGCCCCAGAAGTCAGTGTCAAGGCCGTTAATCTCTCTAAATCTAGATGGGAGCCCACTCTAACCCCCAAATTGGCATCGGAGCCCGCTTGTACCTGTGTAATAACTCATCATTTAAGTCCTGTCCTTGAGAACAGTGTTAATTTCGTCAACGAAGACGATGACGAAAAATATTCGTTAACGAACATTTTTTCTGTGACTAAGACGAGACATTGACGAGCTAAAACTAAAATCTGATGATAAAAACTATGACGAAATTCATGCTGCGTCTTCGTTAACAAGACGAGACAGAACTATAATGTTATTTGAGGACTACCGGCCATTCAAAATGCATCCTATAGGCTACTGTCTTCTCCTTCAAAATGTGCGTCCCTGTCATTGGGTGGCAATCGGATAAGGGGTGTTTGCATATCGAGTCTCAGTATGGCAGCCGCAGTGGACGGATAGGCTACCAAAATGCGAACTAGCGATCTGAAACAATGGCCTCAGCACCCGAAGGGGTAGGGATAAGGTGACCAGATGTCCCGTTTTTCCCGGGAGTCACAATTCGTTGTCGATTAACTTAAAGTTAGTGAAGGCGGGATAGGCGGAATCGCGCTGATAGAAGTGCTCTCTCTCGCGCACGCTCCACTTCATCAGTTCTCATATACAGCAGGCGATCAGTTCTCAGTGCTCAAATACACACACAGCAGTCAAAATGTCTATCGTGTAGAGTATCTCACGTAAATACAGTCGGTTATGGATTAAGTGAACGTAAACTGGTGGATGAAAACTGAATGTGTGTCAGTATTACATGCATGCCTTCCTTCTTAAAGGGACAGCATTCCTAATTAAGTACATATCCCTGTCATTAATGTTAACCAACATAAGATGTTAAATAAATATGTTAAGTAAACCTACTGTTTCTGAACAATGAGTTTAATCTGTATCTCTTTCGTATTTGTCTTATTGTCTTATTCTGCTTCTTTTTCAAAAACTATAAATTATATATATATTATATATGAACAACTATAATTTTTATAAGTTGCTCCCTTTTCACTACTGTTAAAGGGATAGTTCACCCAAAAATGAAAATTGTCATCATTTATTCAAGTTTTTCCAAATTCAATCCTTGATTCAAATTTCTCATAAGCTTAATTGATTTGGTCTAAAGAGAGAAGAATTAAAGACTATTTTTGTTTGAAGACTACATATAAAATAGCTACCAAAATAAATGTTGGTAACTGCAGTTTGACTAAAAGTAATGACTAAAAGTAATGACTAAAAGTTGACAAAAATGCAATGACTTTTCGTCGACTAAAACTATGAAAGACTGAAATGACTAAAATGTGACTAAGACTATTAAACATTTTCGTCTCAAGATAAAGACTCAGACTAAATCAAAAATGCCTGTCAAAATGAACACTGCTTGAGAACATATGAGAATTCCTTCCAGACAGTTAACCCACTCCAGAGCACAGCCCCGGGTCGGCTCCGGCCACTGACCAGAGTCCCATGATGGCTCCAGCCCCTGAGCAAAGTCCAGTGATGGCCCCAGCCCTTATCCCTAGTTCTGTGCCTGCTCTCGTTCCTGAGCTCAGCCCATTGCCTGCTATCGTCCCTAATATCATGCCAGTGCCCGCTCTCATCCCAGAGCTTAGCCTAGTAACCTTTCAACCACCAGAAACCTCAATTAACAGGGCAACCAAATCAGAATCTCCAGCAATCTTGAGTGCTAGACCTGAGTCTCCTGAGATCATAGCCCATAGGCCAGTACCCTATCAGATTGTTCCCAGCCTGGAGGATTTAGAGTCCCTTCTGTCACTGATTGATCTCCCTGTTATGGCAGTATACATACTGTGTTTGGGCCGCACACTGCCCTACTACTCGTAGCGAAGTGGAGGTGATAGCTCCCAGTTTGCCTGTCTCCAGTGTCCTGGCCACAGCAGCCAACGGAATCTCCTGTTCTCCTATCTCCTGTCTGTCAAGACCGGCCCTCCAGACGCCCGTCTCTCAGCCGGCCATCTAGACGGTCCCAAGTCAGACATCCTGCCCGGACATGGCCACTATGACCATTGCTTACTTCTCTGTGCTTTATAATCCAGTCCCTCCAGATCTGCCCTGGTGGTCTTCTGCTCCACTGGGAGGTCTTCGGCACCGTCTCTGCTGCAGTGGTGGTGGTCTGCTCCATCGTGAAAATCTTCAGTTCCATCTACATTGCTCTGGTGGTCATCTGCTCCACCTTGGGAATCCTTAGTCCTGTCTACACTGCTCTGGTGGGTATCTGCTCCACCGTGGGAATCTTCAGTTCCTTCTGCTCTGCCATGGTGGTCTTTGGCTCTGTGTCGGAGGGGCTCAGCTCCATCTGCTTGGCCTTGTTGGCTTCCTGCTCGGCTGGCTCCGCCCTGGCTCAAATTATCCTGGTTTCTTCCTCCTTCTACTCCCCAGTTGGGCCTGTTTTTGTGCAAGGTCACACCTTCTGGGAGGGGGGAGTACTGTCACAATCCCCAGTCACCAGTCCATCCACTATCCTCAATCACAGTCCCTAGTCACCAGTCCATTCACTATACTCAGTCACTAGCCCAGTCCACTGGGAACTACATTTCCCAGCATCCCTTCTGGTCAACACCTGCACTCAGTCAGCCATCACCACACCTACTATAGATGATCTCATCAAGCCCTGAATAAGAGCAGTTACTCTCCACTTCTTCCTTGTCTGGCCTCGTCTCCCCACGTATGAGTACTTACCCTGCTACTTTCTTGGATACGTTCCTGTCTTCAGTCAGTCTTCAGGTCTAGTCTTCACTAAGCATTCACCGCACACCCGTCAGCACCTGCAACAAACTGTTTACACTCAAGCTAAGTGCTTTCTATCTTCATTGCATTTTATACTCACCGGTTTACCATGCTGCTTCTCTGAAATACATGTGAATAAACACTTTGCTGTTGATGTTACCTCTGAGTCTTCTCCTTCTGTACTTGTGTCACATATCTTTTCATGTGTAGTCCCTAATGGTCTGTTCAGCATTGCAGAAAAGCTACTATGCCATGAATCTTTTGAATAAAATGTTTATTAGTTTGCGACATTTATTCCTTGATTCTAAATCAGTTTTTATTTAATTTTACTCCACAAACTCTTTTTGCTAAGGTTACAACTTTGGTGTTCAACATGTTTCAGAAATGGAAACAATTCAAGATTGAAATTTAAACTTAATTTGGTTGGTTTTTTGTTGTTTAAGTTAGCTTTAAGAAAATTAATATGACTGTTTGTAAAAGGAAATTTGATTATTAAATTAGTTTTTAAAAGAGGTTAATTTATCTTTAAAACTTCACATGGGTTTGAAATAGATTCAGTTAGATGGTCAGTTTACACCCAGATGGTGCATCTTACCCACTGACTCAGATCAACTTACCCCTAACCTGGGGTAAATTGAGCACTTTTTTTTATTATAGCAATATTTTAAAATGATAGGAAACATCCTGAAATTACTTTAGATACTTTCATTTTACTTCTGCCTCATTTTCTCTTATCTTGAGGACCATATAAGTAAAAATGGCTCATCTTACACCATACACACACACACACACACATAAACCAAATGAAAAACATAAATCAAATGATCCAAATCAACCACAAGATCATATCAAGACGATGTAGGTTACATGAACAGAGAGGAAACCAAAGGCATAGCGTGTGAAGGTCGTAGAGGAAAGGAAACAAGCAGAAGTTCACAAAAGCGACAGTGTATGTAGGTCACTTAAGCAAGTCTGTTCACTTACAGGATGTTATTATCCTATTAAAAAGACAGGAAAAGGTCTGATGTGATTTGTGTTGATTACGGTTTTCATGAACAAAATGACTAAATTACAGTGAATAATTTGGTATTTAGGAAGCACATCTGACCTATTCACCCTACAGTCCATGATTCAAATATTACAGTCGGAGATCATACAAAGTTCTCAATTCAAAGGTATTATAATAGGCATATCATATGAACATAGGCATCATCAGTTGAAGCATAAAAAATAACAGTTTAAAAGAGTTAAATTCACTGTTTAATGATGTCCAAAACACAGCTTCATGCAATAGGTCACCCAAAAATGAAAATTCTATCATTTACTTACCTTCATATAGATACAAACTAGGGCTGGGTGATATAGCTAAAAAATGTATCAATGATATAATGTTTCATATCATTCGGTATCGATAATTATTGACATTTTTTATAACCTTTTTTAAAACAAAAAGCAATAGAATTTTTTTTTTTAAATTTAACCACTGTATTTTTAAATTAACACAATTTATTGAGGCAAACAACAAATATTTTTTGTTTTAACAATCAAACACAAAATAAAAATTAAACAAATATCTCATTTCTAATGTTTTATATGCAGATTAAATAGGTTTTAAGGAAACTTTTGTCTCGTCTCCCGAGGCCACAGGAGGGTGCAATGAGCAAAATATTGCAGCACATTTAAAATGTCAACGCAAGGAAGTAACTCTATAAAAACATGCATAACGTCTAAATTAACTCATAAAAATCAAATATAATTTCGTAAATTGCATAAACAATTATGAACAAAACAGCATCATGTATTTATGCATTGCTTAATCTAAAGAGCCGAAGCGCCATTCACACAAATTGCATTTAAAAACATATGAGACGCAGTGAAAAGGAATAAACCTCCACAAATTCGTGACGTGTTTTCTAAAAGTTTAAACCGTTT